AGGTTGATCCTATGCTTACCCCAGAAGAGCGTCACTTGAACAAGATGCAGAATCATGGTTATGAAAACCCAACCTACAAATACCTGGAGCAGATGCAGATTTAAGTGTGCCCTCCTGCTTGGAGCAGGGTGGTGCAGGTGGGCCAAAAGAGGTCCAGGATTTTGGATCAACTACTGACCAACAATTGCTTGCAAAGAATTTCATCTTACATTCAGAACTCCTGGGTTATTAAGACTATAAAGTACTACTGTAGGATTGCAAATTCCATTCTTTTAAATGGGTGAGAAATGTTAATATAACTATATATAAACCTTAAATGAAAAAATGATCTATTGCAGATATTTGATGTAGTCTTTTTTAAATTAATCAGAAATCCCAATTCTGTTGTATGGTTTCACATATGCTTTCTATATAAATGGAAAATGTCCAGTTGCATTGTATGAATCAACCCTTTAAGGCTCACTTACTGTTGTGATTTTTGTTTTTAAAAATTAAAAAGGCAATATAGTCCCATTTTAAATGAGTTTCAGAAACTTACTGAAAAGGTAAACAAGGAACTGGAACAGAGCACTGATACATATCCTGACACCTTTCACAATCATTTGAAAGAACCAGATGCATGGAGTCTGGTGCTTCACCACTGAGTAATGTGCTCTTTGCACGTCCCACCCCCAAGGGTCTAGAAAGCATTCGGTTCCAGTGTCTCCTCGTGAGACTCATATATATACACCGATTGGGGTCTCCTGCTGCTTCCCTTTTGAGCCCAGTTCTTTCACAGAAGCTAGCCTATAGTTGTGTATGATGTTCTTCTCCATTATTAAGTCCACTTACTGAGTCCATTTCAAATGTGATATCCTTTTCTTCTTTGGATGTTTCCCTCCAGAGGCACTGACTGTCCACTTCCTGTCCTCCGTTTATATTTTTACTGCTTTGCCATCCTTTTCTTGTCACCAGCGTCTCTGCCACAAACTCAGAAGAATATGTTTAGTAGCTGCTAAGGGCCCCTGATAGAACTAGCACATGGGGAGGTTTGTTTTCCTTTGCAAAGAGGTATACCAGTTGTACGTAAAACTGGCTGTGTCACACTGGGAAAGCATTAAGGCTTTGTTTCCTTTACACAGCTCTGTATTGCTTGTGTAGTTGATGTTGATAAAGCTGCCTCTTTTTTTTTACCCCTAAAGCTGAAGGTTCTGGTAACCTGTGGTTTGTTTTTTTCTATTCCTGTGACTCTCTTGGTTTTGTTTGGGGTTTGAGGTTTATTTTGTTGTATTTTGTTTTAAGTCCTTTCCCTCCCTATTGGCCCTATCCATGCCTTGTTCCACTATGCACAGATTAAACTTCACTTGCAAACTCCTTAATATGATCTGTGGAGAATGTACCGAGTTTAAACACATCAATAAATACTTTAACTTCCACAGAGCCTCCTAGTTTTATTGACACTTGCATGATCTGTGGTGATGATGGTTTTCAGTCTCTGGCCTTCTGGGAGAAAGGGAATGTACTCCAGAAAGGATTTCAAAGCTTCAAGGCGGGCTAAAATTAGTTGACTCAAATCAGTTCTCAGGCTTGAATTTCAAGGGAATTTTACAAAGATGGAAAGTCTATGTAAGCATATAGCTGGCCTTTTGAAAAAATTTACTTCCTTTTTTTAAGGTTATACTGATTTATTTATAAAGTTTGAATATATTGTTCACAAAGAATCCTTCCACTCTTCAGTGACATTGTTTGCATTTTTCAATGCTCTCCTGAGTTGTTCCTCCCTCATTAACACAAACTCACTGTCCACAAGCATCTTGTCTGCTTTTTTAAAGATGCTCTTCTGAGCTCTCCAGGTGTCCTAGCAATCGTGGGTAGAGTTGTGCAGCTGACCTAGTGGCTCCTCTCTGGCTGTTCTAATTCACCAGTGTCTCCTCAAAAGAAAGAGGAATGATCACCTTCTTTGTGATTTGTAGCTGCTGAAAACCCATTGAAGGGTTAGCTACTTGAGGGTAATGTGTGAAAATAAATTACTTTTGCTCTCTGATGGTATAGTCTGTAGAGCCTTGCCCTGCTGAAAGGCCACACCTCTCTGGCGTTTGAATCCACATGACTCCGCAGGAGAAATACAATTTCCTGTGTAATTCTTGGAAACCCAGTGGAGGATCAGCTGTGAGTAGGTTCCACTTTGGCAGCAGTGCATTTTTTAGTTATTGTCCATTTGATCGCATATAAAAGGGGTGTAACCAAGCATGGATGGAAAAATGTCTCCTCACATGCTTGGGCATGTGATCAGGAGGCACCAGTCCTTGTATAAAGACATAATCCTAGGAAAAGTATTAAGGCCAGCAATAAAGACCCTCAACAAGATGGACAAGGTACTACAACAATGGTCTTGAGGATGGCACAGGAAAGGGCAGTGTTCTTATGGTTGGTGTGAGTCAGAGTTGGCTCAGAGGCAAATTTTAAAATAATGTGATGCTCAAAGGCTGATACTGTTACAGAACTCTGGAAACCTAGTGATAAAGAGTTGTGCTCCCAACCCCCAAAAATGGGCAGTCTTCTAGTGATTTACAGCTTCTGAAAACTCACGGTAGGCTCAGCCATGAGTCAGTTCCAACTTCACAGCATGTAACAGCAATAAACAATATTCTTTTATTAAGATGAACTATTGTTTGGTTTTAAGAAGACATCCAGAGATATTTAAGATATAAAGATTATCTCAGGGCAATAATTTGAGTTCATCTATCATCTATGGCTCTAGATGGTCTGGATTCCTTGGGAAATTCTGGTTAGTATTCTGTAGAATCTTGGATCAAACTATTCAGGCATGGTAGCCAGGTACCATCCTCATTCTGCCTCCATAATAGAGGCAGTGTTCATGAAGACAATTAGCATCACATTCTGTAAGCGTCCTCTGTTGCTCCAGGCAAACAGAAACCAACTGATGGCCACTCATAAGCCTCTCTGGCAATTCAAATCAACAGTTTCTGAGATGAACATTAATATTCTCATCCTGAGCAGTTTACAGCCTCAAAACCCACTGGAGGATCAGCCATGAATAGCTCACCAGCAATGAGTTTGAGGGAAGTTTTTAGTTAAGTTTTTTTAACCCCAGGCACTATGCAACAAAATTGGAAGTAGAAAGAAGCACAAAACACATTAAGCTAATTAGCAGAGATATTCCACAAAACCTTGACCCGAAACCTACAAACCAAGGACCAGATCTGAAGTTGTTTGACATGAGCAGCCCCAGCAGATGTTCTCTCTTTTCAGTTGGTCTTCTAAATACATAAATCACACAGTTTCTGTCAAATCAGTTTACAGTATACCACGTGTTGGCAGCAATTAACATTTATTGACCATGCAACTATAACTATAATGCATTGTTTCCATCAACATAAGCCAAAATTCAGTATTTCTTCCCACCCCTTTTCAGAAAAAAGGTGATAAAAACAGTGCAGAAATTACAGAACAATGCAGCAACTTAAGTGTGCTAGATTAGGAGGATGTCATGGAGTAGGAGAGTGTTCACATCAATTGTTCATAGGGTCTCTATGAGTCATACTCTACTTGATGGCAGCTAGCAACAACAACAGTATCATGTGCAAGTAAAACCTTGCTAAAGGTTATTTTTAAATGTCTGAAACAGTACATTGGCAAGGAACTACCAGAAGTTCAAACTGGATTTGGAATAGATGATAGAATTCGGGGTATCATTGCTGATGTCAAAGTGTCTGAAAACAGAGAATACCTGAAAGATGTTTGTGTTTTCTTCACTATGCAAAGGCATTTGATGGTATAGATCATAATAAATTATAGATAACATTGAGAAGAGTAGAAATTCCACAAAACATGCTTGTGTTCATGTAAAACCTATATATGATCTAGTTAACAGTCTTGAAAAAGAAAATACTGCATGGCTTAAAATCAGGGAAGGTGTATGTCACGGGTCAGTCCTTTCATACTTCATTTTACCTAGACTCACAGTCAACACCCATGGAAGCAGCAGTCAGACAGTCAAAAGGATATTTTGTACTGGACAAATTTGCCTTCGAGGACCTCTTCAAAGTGCTAAAAAGTAAAGGGACTTCTGGTGGGATGGGAGACAGTGGAATATCCATCTCCCACAGGAACACACAATGAAACAACCAAGGGAAGGCAATTACTGACAGTAAACTTCACACGGAAATTAGAGTAGTTATTGAGAGCAAAATCAGACACAAATTGATGGATGAAGCTGCAAGAAAGGATCCATTAAAGAAAAAGTCTGACAAACCCCTCAGATGCTGAGATTAGGAGTCACGACCAGTGACTCGGCAGCATCTAAACTGCTTCATGGAGAAGGAAGAAATTACCTCATCTCCCTCTACTCAAAACTGTAGTAAGATTGCTCGCGTGAAGTGGTAGCCCTCCCCCACCCCGGCCTCTTCTCTCCCCCTAAGGTGAGCAGACTGACAGCATCTTGAATGTGGCACTGGGAGAACTCTGAGGTGCAGTGTGTAGGAGCTCTCAGAAAATACAGACCAGTTTTCCTGTGTAAGTTAGCCGTCTTCCAGCACACAGCCCGCACCCACTGGCCATCTCTTAACTACTGCCCCTAATAATGCGCATAATGACTTCACATTGTACCGCCTGATGTGCAATCCTGGGACCCCACAAACACTGGCTAGCTCTCTGCTGAGGGCCACCTCTGAAACACCCAAGCCACACCCATCACAGGGCTCTTCCCACGTCTCTCCAGCAATGGACCAAGATCTGTACCACAGCTAACCAGGCTTCATGCCAGCCTAACACTATGCTCACCTGTGGCCCCAAGACCCAACATCACTGGAGCTAGCTGACTACTTGCAGGCAAAGTCATTCATAGATTTCCCTGATTCTCAAATATGCAGTACCTCAGGTGGCCCGCCACATGCAGGTGCAGTGGTTCAAAGACTTCCTTTTTTAATTGGTACTGGAGAAAGGCAATAGTTTGACAACCTCAAGTGTGGGCTTCTTCCAACACCACACTCTGTGGGGCCTGTGACATGCCAGACTGTTGTTTAATATGCTGTCGAGTCTCTTGCAACTAATAGAGACCCTATTTACAATAGTCCTGAAACCTGCTCTATTCTGGGCCAACTTT